AATGGGTGGAAACTAATTAAGGAGAGAAGCAACTTAGAACTAAGGAGAAATTTTCTGACGGTTAGAACAATTAACCAGTGGAACAATTTGCCTCCAGAAGTTGTGAATGCTCCAACTCTGGAAGTTTTTAAGAAGATGTTGGAGAACCATTTGTCTGAAGTGGTGTAGGGTTTCCTGCCTAAGCAGAAGGTTGGACTAGAAGACCTCCAAGGTCCCTTCCAACTCTTATTTTATTCTATTCCTATTCTATTCAACCCATGGCTGCTTTCCGTGTCTCCATCTTCTTCCTCCCCTTCAGAATCTTTCCGAAAGAAAGAAGAAGTCTCTACTCGAGAGAAAACAGGCCGAAGAAGAGGCCGATGAGATCCGTAAGTCTTACCAGGAAGAAATGGACCAACTCCGGCAGCTTCTGAAAAAGTCACGGGCCTCGTCCAACAACGTTGCTTCAGAGCAGGTGAGAGTGAATCCCCCCCCCCCCCAAGGTTCAGCTGGGTGACAGATCTTGGAAATTCAGGCTTTAAGCAAGTCAAGGAAAGGCTCTTCCTCTTAGGATCTGTAGCTTTTTCCGTCGTAGAAATTCTGGTTTTTGTGGAATCTGAACTTGCAAACGTTTCATGACCCAACTAGATAGCACCGTCAGTAGAGTGTGGCACCTGTTTCCTGTTTATAGACAGTAGCTGCTTCTTCCCTGTATTAATGGTTGTGTAGTTTGCTTTCTTGATTAGGGTATTGTTTTCTCCTTGATTGACTCCTCCGTAGTTCCTCGACTAGGATATTGCTTTCAGCTTGTTATTTGTCTGGTGTCAATCCCTGCTTATCTGGGTGTTTGGCTGCTAAAGATTTCCAGTTTTTGTTCATTTTCTAAAACCTGCTCTCTGCGGCTAAATAGGCCAATGTCCCCCTTCACTCCCAGACACTATCCACAGTGCTGTGGAAAGTCCTCTAACCACTCAGCCTCCTCATCACATTGCAAGGAATCAAGTCACCGCCACGGCCTTTAATGGTGTTTAGGGAGCAGGAAGGGCAGGGAATCGTTGTGTTAGAATGGAAGTCAACCCGTCTATTTGTTCTGGGGAAGTTTTCCCTTCTGCAGACCGAGCTGGAGTCCCAGTGGGAAGCCAAATGCGAGCGTCTGCTGAGCTCAGCCAAGGAGCAACACGCCCGCCAGTTCCAGGAAGTGTGTGAGCAACGGGATGCCCAGCAGCAGATGGTCTCCCAACTGGAAGAGAAGGTGGGTAGCGGTAGGAGAAGGACAGGCAGAGCCTGGTGGTGGAGTCAAGAGAGGAATCAGCCTGGAGTCTTTACGTTCCCATGAAGGATCCAACCTCTTGTTTTGATCCAGGCTTCCTTAAAAAGCATGAAGCAGAGTCTTGGTCCCAGCAAAAACCCTTTTATGTACACAACTGTGAATTCCGTTCATTCACAGTCAACAAGGCTTGGCTAACAGTCTTTCAGAGGAATGTTTATCCACACGAACCTTATCTCATCTGGAGAGCTGCCAGATAATTAGTTTCCAAATGCAGGGCAAGGCAAAACTTGGCACAGAGTCTCTTATAGTCACAAACAGAACTTTCCACTCTTGAAGCGACTGAATGAATGAATGGATTCCTGCAAAAGCCCCCTCCCCGTTAGTTCCTCTTTTGCTTCCTCTGGGAGGGGCCAATCACCTCCAAGGTGTGGCTTTATTCCCAAGTCGACCCTGCTTTCTGAGTTGTTCTTGTCCTCTGGCAGCTCTGCGCATGCGCACACTGGGAACAGGCTCCAGCTGTTCCTCTGCCTCGCTGCTGTCTAGCTCCCTCTCTACCTCCGACGCAGAGCCCTCGTCTGAGCTTTCCTCAGCCCCCACAACTGGTTCACGTGCCCACAGAGAGGGCTACGCATGCACAGGTTTGCCATCATGGCTCTAGGCTCTGTTGTAAGCCAACAACTGGATGCTTCAGAAGACGCCGTCTGGTTCAGCCTGTCTGAATGTTAACCTGTGTCTCTGCTTTCCAGATTTCTCTGCTCAAGGCCAGCAGGAGCTCAGAGGATCAAAAATCCGCACAGCTGCAGGATCAAGTAGAGGAACTAGAGGCAGTTAAAGGCAAGGTGAGATTCAGCACTTTCCTGGGCCCGGACGTTACTGTATTTTTCGGAGTATAAGACGCATCGGAATATAAGACGCAGCAAGGTTTTGAAGAGGAAACTTTAAAAAAAAGGTTTTTGCACTCTGCAAACCTCCCAAAAACGGCCCATTTTTCGTGATAATGGGTGCGTTTCCCCCCCCCAAAAAAGGCACAAATAGCCTTTAGGGAGCTTACATATTACTCCTGGGGAGTTGGGGGGGGGGCGAGTAAAAAAGGCCCATTTTTTGCAAAAACGGGCCAATTTTTCGTTTTAAAAAAAGGCATGGATAGCCTTTAGGAAGCTTATAAAGTGCTCCTGGGGGCTGGGTAAAATTGAGCAAAAACGGGGCGATTTTTGCTCATTTCTGCCTTCCCCAGCCCCCAGGAGCTCTCTGAAAGCCTCCTAGAGGGTATGCATGGCCATTTTGGTGAAGGGAGCAGGGTTTGGGGAGGCAAAAAAATGTTGTATTCAGTGTATAAGATGCACCCAGATTTTTAGCCTCTTTTTTGGGGGAAAATGTGTGTCTTATACTCTGAAAAATATGGTATGAAAGCAGAGGAGAACGCATCCAATATTTTGAGTGTGTTTATCTATATATCTATATTTATATCTATATCTATATATCTATATATATTTCGTGTTTGATGGTGGTTAGTTGTTCTTTTCCTTTTCCATTTTAAGTTTGGAAATAAAATTTAAAAAAATGTTTTAAAAAATCTGCAAAACTGGAGGTGAGAATCCTGCCTCCCATCACACTGGCATGTTCTCTTTCTCTAAACCCAGTGTGCGGACTTGCAGTCCCAGCTGGCAGATCTCACTGCCCATTATGAAGACCGGATCCAAGAGCTGAGGAGTAGGACCCCACCGACAGCTTCAGCTGAAGAGGTATGTCCATGGAAACCCCTTATTAAGTAGGATCCTTTTAAAATAATAATAATAATAATTAAAAAATTGTGTTCATCGGGCATGTCAACCTCTATTTCGTTGAGGGCAGCATCAGGGCTGGGGGGACAGGTGGGCGTGGCCAACTGAGGGGGCACTTAAAGCCACTCACTGGGCGTGGCCGACTGGATGGGCATGGCCAGCTTGACGCCACTCCCCAAACTGCTAGCATGTTCCCTCTTCACATTGGGTAGACCGGGCCAAAGCGGCGCAGGCCGGCCCCTTACATTTACCAAGACAGCCCTGCGAGCCAGATCCGAGCACATCGCGAGCCAGATCTGGCCCGCGGGCCTTGTGGTTTGACACCTTACCTTATGGAAAGGAGGGAAGAATCTGTAGGAATTCCAGCCTTTTCTTTAGTCAGCAACTGGTCCTTGAGGGCCAGCGGGAGAGATCTGCTGCCAAACTAGTTCTCTGATACAGATAAAAGGAGGTCTGACAGTTATCAGCTGCCTTCGGAGTCAGACATCAGTGAGGCAGAGGAACAGGGGGAGCCTGTTCCCAGTGTGCGCATGTGCAGAGTGGCCAGATGAAGGGAACAGCTAAAGAACGGGTCAACTTGGGAGTAAAACCACAGGTGGACGATGAATGGCCCCTCCCAAAGGAAATAAAAGAGGAGCGAAAGGGGAGTGGAGTTTGCAGGAGACTATTACTTTCGCTTAATTGGTTCGCGACTCTCCGAGGCTCCTTTCTAAGTTCTGCAGAGATTGGCCTGACAGCTCTCCAAGCCAGATAAGGTCTGTGACTGCAAATCCTCCCTTGAAAGACTTTGCTGGATGTGAAAGGAGCAGAATTCTCAGTCAATTAACAAAAGGGGCTTTTGCCGGGACAAGGAGTTGGCTTCAGGCTCTTGGGAAGCCTCGGTCAGAACAGGTAACGCTTCTACCTCCTCTTCCATTTCCAGGTGAAAAAGATCATGAACGGGGTCTTCCACTCCCTCCGAGGCCAATTTGAGTTGGAGGAGTCCTACACTGGAAGGATCGTTCTCGGGGTGGTCATGAGCACCATCAAGGTACCCTTCAAAGCCATGGTTTCATCATCCTTCGCCTGAACATCTCCTTCGTCTTCACTCACAGGTCTCCTCCTGCAGTTTTCTAAATGAGCGAAAGGTTGAGACACTAATCTTTTCCCTTCTTTCCTTCCATCCTTCCTTCCTTCCCTCCCTCCCTCCCTCCCTCCCTCCC